ACAGCACCCGAACTCCCAAGAGCTCGGCCTTAAGCCGTCACACACTTTGAACAGCATCCGAACTCCCAAGAGCTCAGCCTTAAGCCGTCACACACTTTGAACAGCACCCGAACTCCCAAGAGCTCGGCCTTAAGCCGTCACACACTTTTTGTTCTTTATTACGGGTCATTCACACTTAGATCATTCATCAGACCAAGACATAAATGTATCAAAATAACTTCTAGTTATCCTTAATGCAACAACCAAATTCAATAACCAAAGCGTAAATGTTTCAAAAACAATTCAGAGTTACAATCAAACTGACAATAATACTTCTTGAGAGTAGCAACATTTCAAGGCTTGAGAAAGACCTTACCCTGTGGATCCCTTAGCTCATAAACCCCTCCAGCCAACGCTCTCTGAAAGACTTCTCTTCCGAATGGTTCAACACATCCACCCTATCACCTCATCCAGTGAGATCCCCTCCGTTCTGGCCTCTTTGCCCATGATCGAGCCCTCCTCCATAACTGTTCTCTCGTCTCTGTCTTTTCTTTTCTCCTCCCTCAACATCATCTCTTTCCTCCATGTCTTGCGCTATGAACTCCTTCAAATATCCGACCCTTATCATCCTCTCAATCTCATCCTTAAGCTCCTTGCAGTTGTTCGTCCAGTGCCCATAATCACGATGATAGCTACAATAAGGATCACCTTCCACAGGCACCTTTCCTGATTTCTTAAGTAAGGGTTGAGGTTTGCCAAACATCATAGTTTCTCCATGCCTCTCCATCATCTCAAACACCTTCCCTCTTGATGATGTCAACGGAGTATAGTGCTCGTACATGAACCCCACTCGCCCTCGGTCATCACTCCTATAGTCCTTTCCTCCTGACTTTCTATCTTCTGGTCGGTGTCTGTCATGTGCCTCAAAATCAACTTCCGTTTCCTCCATATTCATATACCTGGTGCACCTTTCCAACAACTCGTCATAAGATCGGGCGGGCTTCTTAGCCAGTGAATTTCTGCAATGCCCCGCTTTCAATCCCCTCGTCAACCCACCAGCCTTTATCTCATCAGTCGCCGAAGGGACCTCTACACACGCGCGGGTAAACCTAGCCACGTATTCCCTCAAGGATTCATTCTCCCACTGCTGCATGTTCATCAGGGATATATACGTCTTCTCATGTTTCCTTGCACTAGATAACTGATTGATAAATAGCGAGCTAAACGCGTCAAAACTGTGGACAGATCCTGTGGGTAACTGATGGAACCAGTCCTGTGCCGAACCCTTCAAGGTTGTCAAAAAGGCTCTGCAACAGACGCCATCGCTATACCGATGCAAGACCGCGACATTCTCAAAACTCCGCAAATGCCTTGTCGGATCTGAGGACCCATCGTAGTATATACTCGGCTCCCTAAAAATGTAAGGCAGATCGGCACCCAAAACGTCATTGGTGAAGGGATGACCCTGCATCCTGAGATGTCGCCTGCCTTCCACCCTTGCTTGGAGCTCTTTTATTTGATTAGCCATCTGCTCCATCAGCGCCTCCCTGGACGGCCTCGGAACCACTGGCGATATCACTGATCTCTCCTCTTGATCATCTCTGCGGTGACTACCGCCCCTTAAAGGCCTAGATATCCCGGGGACATGCTGCTCGACCCTAACAATTGGTCGCTCCACGGCCACAATAGGTCGTTCCAACACTTCAGCGGACCGTTCCGCCTCCACAGCCGGCCTTTCTATCATGGTGGTATGCTTCTCCTTCATCGCCGCGTCTCGTGCAACCAATGCCCGACCTACCGCCTCCGTGACGATGCGATCCAATTCTTCTCTGGTCATCTGCATCCTTGGTTCTCCACCTTCTGGTACCGCCTCTGGCACCGATGCCCGTATTACTATCTCCTGGCCCGCTCCTTGGGTCGCCGATCCATTCTCCTGATCCGACGGGGAAACAAGGGGTACCCCTTGTATCGTAACAAGGGGAGTAGTCATCGAGCCCTCTCCAGCAACCCATCCTTTTTGCGGCCCTCCACCATAGGGTGTCCTTGCTACCCATGCCTCTTCCAAACTATCATCCGAATTCCTCCTTGATTGGTTATCCGCGATTGTGCTCGTCATCCTCAATCGGTAAGAGAAAATAGTTTGTCCCCACAGACGGCGCCAATTGATGTGCTATCGCACACTGGACCGGCCTTCCTCGATCTCCAACCGCCTAAGCCCTCGAAAACCTGCAAGGACGCCGGGAAGTGTTCCCGGCGGTAGACCTCCGACGCTCAAGTTAGTAGGGTATCGAAGAAAGCACAGTATGTATTTTAGGGTTTTGTCACCTACCTCCTCCATCACACGAGATCACCTATTTATATATAATGTTCTGGCTTCCTCCGCACGCCTTACCCTTGTCAGATGCATCTGCTCGGCCCATACCAATGTTACAAGGCCGAGCCCATACGTCCACCAACATGTTACATCTGCTTGGCCCATCTCGGTG